GCTTGCATAAAAGGTCCAGGAGAACGATGAACACAATAACAGACATAACCTAGAAATTCCCCTTAAAGGAGGTAAGCAAATACAGACAAACTTTCAGTCTCCTGTTGCAAAAGCTCTCAGTCCAGAGAAGAAAATCTCCACAAACACATGGGCAGCTCTGGGTGGCTGTAGCTCTGATCTGCAGAGAGGGTAAGGAGCCAGGAAACTGCATGCAGAAACATCAACATGGGAGGCTTCAAAACCTGTAGCATTTATAGCCACAGGGCTGGGGTCAACTCTGACTCTTCTCCGGATTGCAACCCAAATTCCCTTCTTGAAAGGACAGAGTTTCATCATGATGTGCAGTGGTGGTAGTGGAAGGAATGGATAGGAAAACTGATGGAAGGGTTAAAACAGCAGTTCAAAGTTAAATAAAAAGGCCATGTAAAAGTTAGAAACAGAGCTAGAAACAGATCCATCTTTAGCTTTCAAAAAATGAAAAAAAAAAAAAAAAAGGCAACTATAAACAACCCTCACTTTACATATGGAAAATTAAATACAGATCTACATGAGATTTTTCAGCATCCTTGAGATTTCTTTATGGCATTTGTGCTGAAGCCTCCTTAATGCAGAAACTAGAAGCAATGATGGGCAGGTTGGAAATTATAATCACTCCTGAGCTGGGAGTTCAGAGTTCAAGCAAAATGTTGGAGTGTCAAGATTATCATCAATACCTTCCAGAAATAACACCGCAACAGATTATAATTTAAAATACTCTCACACTAAGCAAACTCCCCATCTTCCAAACTTCTGGCTGAAAGGAAAGTTTAATTACTGTTATTTTTATACAAAGTTCCAGGAAATGACTCATTTCTGACCAAACACAGAGCATAAGAAGGCAAAGAGGTGAATGGCAGCACTCATGGCTTGACAGCCTCTCAAAGTCCTGAGGGAAAGTGTCGCTCATGCACATCTTTCCAGAACATCATATTTACACAAACAGGAAAAGATTAGTCCTCCCACAGCTGTCTACAGCTCATGGATACTGTGCACACTATTCTGACATTTTTATTTATTTGAAATGTAAGCTTATCTTACTCCAGTGGTAAAAAACATCTCCTAACTCTCACAGCTTAATCCTCTTTTTGATCTGAGAGATATCTACAGGACGAAGAGAAATAAATCCAATACACTCAGTTAATTGCTCAGTGACAGATAATCTTTCCTCCTCCATTTTCTTTCTCTTCTATAAAAAGTATAACAAAAAGTAAATAAAAACTTCTCAACCAAAACTGTGGAAAAATCCGCTGAGAGGATAACAGCATAATTAAAGTCAGGCCCAGCCTGATGCACTATTTCATTTACCATGTACAGAAGCAGCAGCTCACTTGCCACCCAAAGCTCAGCACACACAGAGCCTCAACAATCTAGAAGATTATACAGATTCTCCCTGTCTCTTTTCTCTTACTGTATTTCATCCCCTCATGTCTGTCACCTGTGGTCTTTTAATTCATCAGTAGTTTTAGAAGGATGATCTCCATCTGTCAGTGTTGCAGCCAGCTATAGTTAAACTAGCTGAGAAATAAAGAAATGTAATCCTGGCAGGAAGTAATGTGTTTATAAAGAGGATGGATTCATACCCTGTAGGCACGGGTATAGTTGGGTTATAGGTGGTTACAGTCCCATCAGTAAGATGGCTTAAATCACCCAAATACACTTTGGAATGACAGATGTGCTTATAACCAGCTATTGCACAAATGACTTGTGTTGGTGACGTGTTTCTACAGCCCCTTATCACTTATCAACCTTTTCAGAGTGCCCTCAGCACAGGAGGCAGAAGTGGGATTTCTTTGCCATGTATTCAAGACAGATTCCTCTTCAGCTGTGGGTACCTGCAGAACTACCTTTCCCCTCTACCCTTCAGAAACAGAACTCCTGATATCAGAAAGCAAATCAGACATGAGATGTTCTCTTCCTTTCCCCAGCATGAAACCCAGAGGCATGAAATAAATTGCAAGATATGTTTCACCCCTTCTCTCAAACCTATTTTTGTTCTATCCTTTCCAAACAAGCAGGGAGATTTAAATTAACATGTCACTTAAGCAGCCAGGAGGAGCAACAGCTAATAACCTCTTTCAGGTACACAGAATAATAAGATTTGCCCACCTTGCCATTTCTTTCCATCACATTAAGAACAGAGAAGCTGTCCTGGGATCTTCATAGACATATTTATCAGTGACCTGAAGGCATGGCTGTATGGGGAGGGGGGATCTAACAGCAGAGCCAGACCCAGGGCAGAGCACAGTGCAACCAGCACGGGCTTACTTAAGGTAACAGGATAGAGGAAAATCCAAAGAAGTGCACTGGCAGCTTCCCGTGCAGCCATGAGCACTTAAGGGCCAACCCCGAATAACAGAGCACTGCAAAGACAAGTGGGTTCATTCTGATTCTCCAGCATTTCCCAGTTCAAAGCATTTGCCAGGGATTCTGGATGGTTGGCCATACAAATGCAATCAAGTCCTGATAAGTGACATGTGCCAAGTGGAGCTGAAGGGTTCAAAGCAAGACAAGTGGTTCCTCAAATAATTTATGGAATTCCTTGTTCTAAGATGTCACAGATACTAAAAATTTTAACACACACCAAAAGATATTGAGAAGGTCAGCTCATGGAATATTAATCCTCTGGAATATACTAAAACAAAAAGAAAATTATTCAGCTCCTCATATATCTTACACTGAAGGCTGAGGGTAACTTAAGACTTAAGAATGAATGCTAGTATAACACTAGAAAGAAGTGTCAGATGTGATAGTCATTTTCACATGGCCTTGGTGCCAGCCTGTTTGGAGACATCATGTGGGAGTTGCACATACCCTGGCTTTGAGCCTCCCTGGGACCTGCACAGCAGCTGCACAGATCCTTCTATCTCTTTCCAAGTCCCGTCTTCTCCTCTTCTCCCTCTCCTGCTCTGCACACCAGGGGTACCAGAGACATAAATGACTAATGAATGTTTCCCCTTATTAATCTTTTGACATCTGGTAGTTTCAGAAGCAGACCTGAAATGAGCAGGCATAGAAATTGGGAAGAATAAACAGGACAAACAGTGTGATTTTCTCCCTCTTCCTTGCCATTTGCTGATATACTCTTCAGGAAGATCATACAAGAATCAAGAAAATGTAAAATCCCAGAAATAGAATCAGGCTAATATTACGGAATACTAAGATCAGGAGTGTGTAATTACTGGTGCTAAATAGACTGAGAATTATTTTTCATAAAATACTCAGATTTTTACTTCTTATCAGACAGTTTTCGGTAATAGAATTCCAGACTAGAGGAAACAAACATGCTATTTTTATGTTGTTAATCACATTCTGACATTAGGACTGAGGTCAGTAAAAGTGCTCTGCCCTCACTGTAGCACTTCTACACTGCTGAGGTCCCAGCTATCTGTTACATCCTCCAGTGGCATCCACACAGTCCCTCCCTTCTTAATCAGGGCAAAATCTTATGCCATTGTGGAATGCTCCACAGAAACCAGAAACAGAAGACAGCATAAGGTCATCAGCACAATTCTGTGCTGCATTCATCCTTCTCATCAGGAAGTGTGCTTTCCACTCTGATGTGGCTGTCCCAGTTTCAGTCAGAAAATAGTATCTCAACACAATTCTGCGTCACATAAGCAGATCTCCAGCACTGTCAGCAATGGGGAAGGAGCTGCCTATGCATGCTGAAATGCCATCACTTCAGCAACGACTAGCACAAACTCCCTGGAGAAAAACATTGCCAAAGCCACAACCCTGAAAGACCCTTTATGTGTGCTCACACCATAGTAAAGACAAAGGAATAGAAAGTCGTGGCAGCAAGGTGTATGAAATTAAAAGTTTGATTAACCTCCCATAGTGGGATGAAAACCCATTTATTCAACTCTACAAAATACTTTTGAGTATTCCTGTTACTGCTCAGAATAAATCCTAGAAGTTCTGTGTTTCTTTAGGTTTTAGTCTGTTTGGTTTATGTTTTCATGCCAGTAGGTGAAGCAGTAGCCCAAGTTCAGAATATACTTCATGTCAAAAATCCCTCCTCAGTCAGTCTATTAAAACCTGCACAGCTCCTGAGCAAAAAAGCTATTTGTTCTACTTCTGACCAAAACTCTCCCTTAGAAAACTCCTTTCCTATACAAGTGTACTAAACAAGTTCATTCTAACAAGAAGTTTTAGTTCTAAATGCCCAAATTTTCTTCTATCCTGCCAGTAGCCTATCCACCCTCATCAGCAACCGGAATACAAAACTCCTAAACTCCCCACCGAAGTTTTACAGATGAAACCACAAGAAAATCTCCCTTTCAGCTCATGAAATTAGTCCTAGGGACACATAAAAGAGGAAATACCTCCCAGATTAATTTTTCAGAGAAATAAATACAGGCACTATCTGCTCACATTGAATCCAAATAACTACCTTAAGAAATTGTTCACGGCCCAGCTCTTTCCTTTGGTTCACATAGTGCATGATATGCTTTTAAATCATGAAAGTATCAAAACATTCCCTATAAATTGGTTCAGCAGTCAAGTTCACACAAGTGGAAATCAATTATCTAGTACTAATCCCATCAGTTCTAATCAACAGACGTTGAATACTCACTCACAGGTATTCCCCCAGTCTCAGCAGCACTGGCTTTTCATAAGGATCATTTGGGCAGACAGCCATGAGATCCTTCATTACAAACAAGGACTTTGGGCTGTTCAGTTCTCCCAAAAGTAAACTAATTGGTTGATTTCAATTTGAATAAGATGGGAAAGGGGAAATCAAAAGACAGAATATCTGAGAAGTACCTTATCTAACTGAAACAAGACAATCAGACTTCAGTCTTTTTGTCCTTGAGTATGAAAGAACAGGAGTGAGAGAGGGTTTAGCTAGAAACCTTCCAGCACTTTTAAAGAAATCCAATTAAATTAAATAAAAGAATTGTATCAGGCTTTTCCTATTTAAGTAAGGTGGTAATTATTAACTCAATTTATCTGCATACCTCCAAAGAGAGCTCTCTGTGATGCTTCCCAGGTTGTAGTCATACAGCTTTGTCAGAATTAGAATCACCTAAAGGCAAAAGAAGAAATCATGGTTAGTCTCAAACAATTACAATCTCACAGAACTGAAATGACTCCGGGGAGGGCTTAGGATTCCTTTAATGGGTGCTTAACATAATTGAATGAATTGTTAAAAGCATTTGCCTAAACTGACATGGGAAGAATTTACAGAGATCTATGTTGAGCCCTTTTTTGGACCTTTTTTTGTTCAGTTCCTCTGCATGACATCTCCCACAGGTTCTTCCCTTAACCCCAGGAGGCAGAGTGCAGTGGGAATGAGTTCGGATCTAGACAGTTTCACAAGACGAGATCTTGTATGCAGTAGAAATAGTGACTATTTTCTGCTCTGTTTCACAGACACTGAAGCTGCTGATCCTTTTCATAGCTGTGGTGCACAGATAACCCACAGACCTGTCTCCAGTCAAACACTTTTTGGTTGCGGCAGATGATTTGACACAAGCAAATGATCACCAGTTTTGACTTGGGAGACTCAGGCTGGACATCAGGAAAAATCTCAATAAGGGTAAGAGTTAACACCTGGACAGACTACCCAGAACATCTGTAAAGCCTCCATCCTTGGAGGTTTTTAACACCTGGCTAGACAAAGTCATGGCTGACCTGATCTACAGCTGGTGATAACACTGCTTTGAGTAAGAGGTTGAACTGTGGACCTTCAAATATCTCTAGTAACCAATGTTTCTACAACTTCACTGAAAAGTTTTAGGTGTAGTCAGAATGGAAGTGTTTCCAAGTTTATGACTTCTATTAGCTCTTTTGATAAACAGCTTTTCCCTCCTGCCAAAACAGGCACTTCTAGAATAAAATTATCTTACCATGGGGAGGAAAGCAATTTTAACAAAAAGAATTTGCAGTGAAAGATTTCAGCCTGCTCTTTTGTTAGTGTCTTTACAAACTTATTTCTGGCTTTCAAGATGATGGGCTTCTTTAACAAGATCTACATTTGGGACAAACTACCAGATCATTACAATTGCTACTAATTTATTTTGCATGTCTCCCTGCCAGGGCACTGTGTATCTTATCCTCCTCCCTATCCCATTAAAACAGCAGTAAATTAGAGACTCCACTCTTACCTGACAAAACCTCTGATCTATATGCCTCTTATTATTTTCAGCCTGGCTTCCTCAGAAATGAGGCTCACAGAAACACAATCCCCCTGGTCTCTTGGTAAAATCACCAGCTTCAACCAATTTGCAGCAAAGCTCTGTAGGAAGTTCAGTGCCCATCAGCCCAGTGCCAGCTGGCACCAGCATGGACAGGAATTGCCACAAGGAGAGGAACAGACCTCACCACTGCCTTTTCCAAAGCCAAAAGCACATCTCCCTCTGACACACCGATTGCCCTGAAACAGCCACAATGGTAATTATCTCCATCCAATACTCAGTACATGAGATAGCAGAAAGAGCAGTGCAGAGGGCAGAGAACACACCTCTGACAAGACATCTCTTTCTTTTCAACTCCTGAATCCTTCCCAGCACGGGGAAAGGCTGCCCAAAGCATTTCCTATCTGCATGAACACAAGTCATGTGTGGCTCATAGGAAACTCACACAACAGCCATGATCCCCCTCTGCTCCCCAGGGCACCCTGACATCCCCTCTGCTCCCCAAAACCCCAGTGCTGGCAGAGAGGAGCTTCCCTCTCTCCTGGCAGGTCCCTCTTTGAAGAGGGAGCCAAGGTGGGAAGCCCCAGCCAAGGCAGAATCCAGAGCCAGGGTGGGCACATATTCTTTGCCAAAGCTAATGCCAGTCAGGGCTTTGTAAGTCCTTATTTCAACCTGAACCCTCCCAGGAACGCTCATCAGTGACAGCAGGGCAGCTGTGTGCTCCAGGTACAGAGCTGTGCCACTGCCACCCCTCACAGCTCCCTCTGCACAGGCTGCAAATTAAAATCAAGGCGGGGAGACCAAGGAAGGGGATGGGATGTGCCTTTCTGAACACCACCCAATGGAAGGTGGCAGTGAACTCCACTCCTGCTTGGAGACATGATGTGGGAGTTGCACATACCCTGGCTTTGAGCCTTCCTGGGACCTGCACAGCAGCTGCACAGATCCTTCTATCTCTTTCCAAGTCCTGTTTTCTCCTCTTCTCCCTCTCCTGCTCTGCACACCAGGGGTACCAGAGACATAAATGACTAATGAATGTTTCCCCTTATTAATCTTTTGACATCTGGTAGTTTTAGAAGCAGACCTGAAGTGAGCAGGCATAGAAATTGGGAAGAATAAACAGGAAAATCAGTGTGATTTTCTCCCTCTTCCCTGCCACTGGCTGATGTACTCTTGGGGAAGATCACACAGGAATCAAGAAACACTTTCCCCATCCGCAAAAGTCAAGAATTAGAATCAGGCTACTTTTATGGAATACTAAGATCAGGAGTGTGTAATTACTGGTGCTAAATAGACTGAGAATTATTTTTCATAAAATACTCAGATTTTTACTTTTTCCCAAGTGAAGAAAATTTACAAATCTTAAAACAACCATGAAAGAAAACTCCATTGAGAATTTTAATCTGATCATTTGAGGGTAGAAAAATTGTAATTGCCATCCCAAAAAGAATATTAAATGAAAAAAAAAAATTAAAAGTGCCAATAGGAGAAATCAAAATATTTCCCCTCCAGAGGGCTGCAATGTCTCTTTTGTTCTTTTTTCTTCCTCGGTAAATTTCAGTAAAACCCACACAATCTTAAAGCTCTGTAGTTGTCTTGGAACTGATGGGGGAAGACAGCCAGCTGCACTCCATCACAATTCTTCTTGGTATACCTCTAACAATCCTTCTGCAGAAGCATCCCTGGATCCACCCAAACATGCATATCAGTTACTGACTAGCTACATCAAGAACCCTTAGCAAAACTGATATATCCTGGCTGTAAATTTAGGATAAAATCTTAGCATTTAACATTCCCAAGATCTGACACCACGCTGTGGCAGACACATGCACCAGTTTCTGGACTAAAGCTTAGATATCTCCACTTGGTGCAGGAACTATTATCCTTTGAATAGGTACTACACATAAGCGCTTTTTCTATTAGAAGCTTTTTAATTTTTGAGAATCTTTATTGCCTTCCAAATGTGTCTAAGATCATCCATGGTTTCAGTAGTCTCCTTGTGTCATTTACTATGGTTCAAATATCAATAACAGATCTGCTCAAACATGTATGTGCAAAATAAACAAATAATTGGGCAGAAAAGTAATTTCTGCCCTAGAGGTCACTAATCATTTTTCCCTTTTGTAATGATACTTGAGTAACCTATGCAAGGCCATGTTTTTGGATATATTTACTTCTTCAGAAACAATTTTTCTTCTTTGCTGTTCTCATTTCTTTGTTATTTAGCCTGCAAAGGTTAGTTCGTGTTTAAGATTGTTTCTTTTTCTTTTTTTTCCCACCCTCTGTGGCTGTCACTGTGCAGTACTGAGGAACCTAATGAACAGAGACATGCATATTATGTTGTTCTAAATGTCAGAATAGGGGCTGTGAAGAAGCACAGTAATGAAACGAAAATAGTGTCTCGCCTTTTCTTCATTTCTTGCTTTGTTTTTGCTTTCTGGGACTGTGTGTTTTTCTCCCTTTTTTACCACTTGCAATGCAAGCTAACAAGAGCAATAAGGAAAAAAAAAGCAAACTAGAAATAGAATGAAAAGGAGCTAAAAATCCAGTCTTATTCCAGCTCTGCTGTGAATACAGATAACCCTTCCTCTTGCATAGAAATAAATACAAGGCTTCAGAAAGTAGTCTGTTCTTCATTAGGATCAGCACTTGAAGTGGATTATTCTGCCACAGCAGGTGGGAAAGAGAAGGAGAAACAAAACTTTATCGTTTCTGCACTGACAGCTCAGAGCAAAAGATCTGATCCTGGGTTTACCACATTCCAAAGTGACTGCACCTACCAAGAGATAGAGCACTAAAAGTGGGTTTAGTTACACACATGAAGTGCAAGAAACAGACACCTGGGAAGGCAGACTGACAAAAGAGGTGCTTAAATCTGGTTCACCATCTCCCAAAGGAAATCCATTCCCAGGCTATTCTGGGAAGGACAAGGCATTCACATCTTGGACACCATCACGTTTTTCTTCAAAGTATAAGAGCATTAAAAAAAAACAAACAAACATATTTTGTTCATCTATCCTGACCTGTAACTGCTTTTTAAGACTTGAGATGTGAAGGACCATCTATAGCTTTCAAAACATAAATTAGTGGCTGGGAAGAAGAGACTGCTCTGTGAACTTGCTAGATTGGGCCCTAGGAAGATCTTTGCTATCACAGGAGGAATTCCAGGGTAAACATGGCTAAATTTTTCCAGACCTACTTTGGCTTATGGCCAAGTGATCCATGCTGTCTCCCTTCCTTGCGCTTCTGCCCCAGGTTTACAACTGGCTAACATCTTTGTCTTGACCTTGTTTTCAACTACTCTGTAAATACTTCTAGCAAGGCTCCCTCGGGATATGGTCAGAGCTTGTCCTTTATCGCAGCACAAGTTCCAAATGTAATTAAATGGTTTTCCCCCTTGGCAAAAAAAAATATTTCTCTCACCAAACAGTGCTGAACCAGCTGGCCAGGAAGGCAGTGGAAGTCTGCACTCTGCTCCTGACCAGGCTCATAACTCACTGGGAAAGGAGCAACAGGCTGCACTCTGTGCCACTGTAACTCATCTGGGGTCACGATGTGTGTCCTCAGAGCAAATCAGCCAAAGCTGCCACAGAAACCAGCACTGAGGAGCTCTCAGCACAGGCAACTGTAACACTCCCCGAGGGAAATTCATTCCTGGGAATGCTACGTGAGTACTGTGTCAAAAGATGTCCATACTCATTCAAACTCAGCTAAGCAAGGACACGGGCTATGTCACAAACACTATCACTGTGTGTGAGGTTTGATCACCATTATTAAGATCCACTATACAACGTGGTCTGTGATAATCCCACTCAAGTTTATTTACATCAGAGCTCTTATCTTCAGTATATTTTATTTATTCCCATGACCATCCCCAGGTCCTCTCAGT